GAACACTCCGCGACTCCCACGTGGATCGGGCGCGTCGTCGCGCAAAGTATAACTCGTTGTCGAACGTCCGTCCGGAAGATCGACAGGTAGGTGCGTTCCTCCCTCCCTACTTCTTCGCGTCCTCACGTTTCTTCGCATAGCGTAAAGATGTTACATCGTCTCGAGGGCCGTCGGGGACCGGCTTTCGCGACGAAAAGACGGGCGAATTGTTTTGGCGCCTCGGGACATCGCTCAGAGAGCATAATTGTGTTTTTCAGGCATATCAATTGTGTCTTTGAGTTGAATTGTTATAAATAGGTGAGACTAAATTTTTATTTGCTATAAAATTAAATAAGTACAAAACGTAGAATGACACAAGATCAGCCCGCAATTATAGAAAAAATAAAAACATAAAACTGTAATTGCATTGCAACCAATTACAAGTTTCTATTTAATTCATTTCCATTTTCATAATTATGTCATTTTATTCTGCTTTTGTAATCAGAGAACTTTTTTATGTTTTAAACATATGTTTATTGGAGATTTGTTAAGAAAAGCTATAATTGCAAAACAATACAATAAGAATTGTAATCGACAAATGAAAGCATTCATAAATTATATCGTGACAATATTTACAAAAGTATCTATTTCAACATTTAAAACTATACATAGAATTAGGCGCCAAATTTAATTACAAATTTTACCGGGGAGATTAGGAGGATAACGAATTTAATTACAGCTTTAATTACTTAATCCTTTGAGATTCGCTCGTTTCGCAAGGAAGCCATCTGCTTGAATGCTCAGCTCTCGTGCACTACTGGCTTCCTTAGAAATTCATACCGTTAGAGGTGTTACTTCACGTACAAACTTAGTCCTAGGAACTTGTAATCTTCTGCAATTTAATCATTATGGTTAAAACTTGTTTTTCAATATTTGAAAGTCGTTTGCGCAATTTTTCATTTGTATGTTTCAATTAATTCAATGCGATTGTGGATGTGTATGCATGTATATGTATGATAACTAAAAGAAACGGTATTCAATATTGAATACAGTAATAAATTTTCAAAAGTATAGATTTTTTTAAACATGTTATGCTTCGTGCTAACATAATTGTGAATACTATTCAACTTTTATAAATTGAAATCTGTACATTTATAAAAAAAAGATAACTGTATAAAGTCTTGAGTATTTAAATTATCAAAATGTGTGCACATTATAATATTTTTTTACTACGTCTGTAATTAAAATTGATATCTTTTATGTGTAAGTGGATCATTATATCATATAATATCATTTATGTTTTCCCAATGATTCTATATTTCAAGAGGGATTGCATATTTCAAAGTATTTCAAGTGCATAGATTAAATTGTACAAATAAATTTCATCAATACAAATATTAAATTTTGACAAATGAGAAAATATATAGATATTAAATACATTTAAAAAAAAGTTAGAAAGACAAACTTTAAACTTATGTAAAATCGAAATAAAAAATTCATATACCACACAATAAGATTGTTGAAAAAGCCACGACTAAATTTGTATCGTTTTTTTATCTCTCTTTCTATTCGAGATCGAGTTCCGTACTGCTCGTACCGACTGCCCATTCAATGGTAAGAGGACTCGGGAGCTTCGAGGAGAGTAAAGAAATGCGCAGCTACTGTCCCCGTAGCTTGGTTCCCGATCGCATTTTCACCGCAAGCCCTCTTTTGTTCGCATGCGCAATATATATGAAAAACGAACACGTGTAATCGGATTTTTTTAATAAGTATTTTCTCGATTCTACCATAGCAATCGTTTTCATTCAAGTTAAAAATCACATGCAAGTTAAAAAGTTTTAGTATTTAGTTTAAAAATCTATTGTCATAATCACGAAGTTGCAGCCGTAATAATACTGTTCATTATTTTTACAAAAATAAACGAATAAGAAAGATCGAATCACTATCAATAGAGAATATGTAAAAAGAATTCCTGTAAAATCTACAAAAATCTCGAGAGAGAATAATTACTTATTTGCTTATAAAACATTCGAACAAGCTTCGTAAAAAGGAAAGCGGCACTGTCGTAACAGTGCCGTTAATACACGTGATTAAATGTCTGGGCATATTTAATATGCGCGGAGAAATGGAAGGATGAAATCCACCCGCGTATGATTCTCTTCTAAATCTTACTTCCTATGTGAAAAAGTGTTGTTTGCAATCGGGACAAGGGTAAACCCGATCTTAATTATACCTGATAACTTTGGTTTCTGTACTTTCCCGCCTAAACGCTTTGACATTTTATGCAATTAGCGAACCCACGGAAACCAAGGCACTTCAAAGGCCCTTTTTTCGGAACGCGGCGCGGAAAAGGATATGGCGCGACATAGAGGAAGAACGCGCAGAAGGGAAACGGCTCGTCTGGAAAATAACGTATCCTTCCCATTTGGCTGAATAATTGGGTCCCGCACTTTCTCAGTGTAGGCGTCCTCATCCTTTCTACCTCCCTTTCGTCCTCTTCCTCCCTCCTTCCCCCTTTCTCCTTACCCCGACTTCACCCAACCTCGCTCGAAAGACTCTCACTTTAATGCACTTATTGTTAATGCGATTCCGCCGGGTTTTCCGCCTGATGGTTACCTACCTTTCGTTGACAACGCAACATCGTTTACCCGTCGCTGCAGCGACATATATCTACGTGCCTTTTTCATCTCTATCCATTCCGCACACGCCAGAAAAATTGGATTTGGTATGTCGAGAGTTCAGATATTCACAAAAAAAAAATTTCCAAACCGTAAGGAATCGCGCCACACCCAATTTTTTGATTTTCGCATGGGTAGCTACTACTCTCCAAGTTTGCAACAAATATAAATTTTGATTATTATTTTAAGTAAAAATTACCCTATCAATCGTAAAAAAGATAGCGAACTTTTTTTTGAATTGTGTCACGTTTGAAGCAAGAGTGGGACAATAAACATTAAGAATTTGGTCAAATTAAATTACAAACTAATAGATTATTTATTTTTAAAAATTTATTAGTATTTTTAAATTTTATTTTTATTCGTCCTCTGATTCTTTTCTCTACAACGTTACAGAGAGATAGAAACTTGGACGAGCTGCATGGCTCATCATGAATCATTCTTTAAAGAAAATTACTTTTATAACTTTCCTTATTTCAAAGATTTGCGCGACACGTCTGTGCACTCGACAAAGCCCTAATAAAAATCATAATGTTTTATGCGTGACAAAAACCGACGATTGCCAATAATGGGTAAAGCCCGAGAACAAAGGATCTCTCGTCGGAGCGAAATAACAACGGCCAAGGTTTTCCCTCGGCCATTCATTTTCCATTTTATAGCCGGCCGCAGCGGTAAACGCGCGCGTGCCTGCGAAATCCGAACCGCATAAAAGCACTCCATTCAGTCTGTAATGCGCTGTCATGGTCCACGCCACCGCGGATTCAGCTGCATTGACGGAACTTTTTTTTCGGCGGTACTTCGGGGGAAGGTGCGCGGTGGGGTTAAAAAAAAAAGAAAAAGCGCGTATACCCGGCGATAGGTGTAAAATATGTAGCAGTCGCGTCGTCGGGGGACAGAGGCGAAATAAAACGGCACGGAGCCGACGGGATCCGCGCGCTGTGTAAAATCGCCGAGCCGACTCGCGCTTAGCGACAGATAATGCGGGTATTATACGAAACGGACGATGCTCGCCATCGATCCCGATCTGCTTCGCGCGTGATTGCGTTAATCGGCTTAACGGTCGCCTGCACGCCGGCCAAACAAATTGCCCGTAAGCGACGTTTCCTCGTAACAACCCCCTGCATATAGTCCTGTACACCCCGACACGACGTCACCGCGATACTGACATGGCGAAAGAGGATTTTCGTTTACAGTTGCGCAGGGGAACTTGCATACACGCGATTCGCCGTGACGCGAGTGACGGTGCACCCTAATCGCGCGCCTTTTATCTGAATTTATACATTTTTCAATCGTTTGTTCGTCGCAATATATTTTTTCCGACTGATCTCTCGATTAAGTTTTCGAATTAATCTGTACTGATTAAATTGATTGAGTTTGTATGAAAGTATAAACCTTTGTAAGCATAGGTAACGTATAATCATTTTTTAACGTTTTGGTATCTAAATAGTTTTATATTGATATATAATAACAGTAGATAACAAAGAATTCATTTTTTAAAATCTTTCTGTACACACACACACACAAACATGTACAATTAAAATTAGTGCTTGTTTATATTATTTTGTGTACTGAAACTAAAATACATACGTCAAAGAATTAAATGATACATTCGCGACATTTACGTAAAATGTTGTGCAAGTTTGTTTAGAATGCTATTATCTAAAATTATTTTAAAAAATTTTAATTAATAAGATAATTTATTAAGATTTTAATAATATGAATTTTTTAAACTAATTATTAATATATATATACTTTCATAGATAAGAAACTTTATAAAAAACATTATTAATTATGCTTATATTTTAATATTATAGACATTTCACGTATCTAAGTTATATTAATCAATCCTTGTATATAAGGAAATAACGTTTACGTAATTGGACCAGTGTCAAACTCGAAACTTGGAGTATTAGTTGTAAAACTCATTAGCACGGGATGCCAACTAATTTTGATAGAACTTCTTGTCAAGCAATTTACTAAATGACACCTACGGTTTATGTCAAACGATTTGTGTATCAAACATGCTCGACAAGATGTCACTCCGATAAATATTATACAGTAATTAACTGCAATTACGATGGAATTGCAAGAATTGCACTAAATTTTTCGGATTTTGATTAATTACATGAGTCTGGCATTTTTAATTTTACACAATATTTCAGTTTTGTTTAAACGAAATAAGAAAATTGAATAAAACTAAAATAACGCAATTGTTTCTTTTTATTGAAATTAAAGAAATAATTTTTGACCTCCGAACGATCCTCAAAACTGAATAATATTTCTCTATAAATTATTACGTTCTTTATGTTTTTACATTATGTTTCTATCAAATTAAAATATCAAACCGTAAGTAATATATTTCTTTATTTTTATGAACATTTAATAGTTTTGTCACTATAATATAATCTCAGTTTATAATAATCGGAAAACCCAAAATATAAATCTATTTTTTTGCAGATTGCTGATTGCGCTTTATCTTCATAGATGATTAAACTTAAGACTTTCTGTGTTACAATCATAAATGTGCTGTGTTATATGTAAATAGAATCCTAACAGATGTTGTTAGGGCATTTCAATAAATTAGACCAGTAGCAAGGGTAATAACTTAATCCTTTGTTTGTGCATCGAATGCAAAATCGAACGCAGGAGGATGGTGGCAATATTTTTGGTGTTGACGGGCGACGATATGATTTTGGGACTGATGGCTGTGCGCAAGGTCCAGCGATGCATATAGTAGGTGATCGTGGCGGGGACTCTGGTTTTGGTCTACATATCTATCAAAATAGATTCTGATGTTGTAAAGAATATTTTTATAATCTTTTTATGTGTATAATACATCCCTTTTTATTAAAATAAATGCAAAATAAATAATCATATTATAAAAATTGACTTAAAGTTATTTGCATTGATCTTAGATTTCTTGTTCTATGTTAAATAAATTTTTTTCAATATTTGTTCGCATATTTAAATATTTCGAGGCACGTTTATAAATCATACACACTATGTAATAAATTACAATTTTATCATATTCTTAAAAGATTAATGCTATTTGTACCAATGGTGGATACGAAAGTGGAGAACGACAACGTCTAGGAAGTCGTGGTTCAGGAGGCAAACAGCCATCGCTTGGACAACAAAATGGTAACGGTCTGCGGTGATAACACGGTGGGGGCAATGTACTTAGTCGTTTCTTTTCTTTGTGACTAGCGGAAGACATTCTTATTTTTTACTTGAAAAATTTAGACGTTACATTTCATAAAAATTTCGAAGTATCCAACATTTCTGTTTAATCGATTAACAATCTTTTGTTTGTAAAAATCGATACATTTCTTTTCTCTGTGTAATATACTCTGTGTATCTGAAAATTGTATTTTAAGTGTGATCCTAAAGTAATTTTTTAGAATTTTGTGAGTTAGAATTATTTTTACATTCTTAAATTAATTATAACGTTAAAATATTTTATATGAATATTTTCTTTCAATCTTTTCTAGATAATGATGAATTTCTCACCTCTGATATAATTATTAATTGATGACTACGTATAATTATTTTGACATTTAAAAACAGGTTTGCCAGTACAGTCGAACCACTTGAGACAACAACACGTTACTTTCTTCGGAGATTTTTCAGAAGAACGACAACGCGGAATGGCAGGAAAGTAACAGGGCGAATAAGAGATTCTATAAAAAATAAATAAATACCATGATTTTTATAAATTTTTTTTAATTTCTTCTTAATTTTATATCATTTGCATAAATCTTAGTCTATTTTTAAATACTATCTAAGTGATATGAAGCAAAATTGTTGAAAATTTAATAATGCGGCTATCGATCTGCTCGCTTAATGTAAAATGTATAAGAACCATTTACAGTAACGTACCTGTCACAAGTATATGTAAGCTGGTATTGAACGGCAGATCCATAGGGACGCGGTGATACGTCAAATAAATATTTCGGACACGCATAATCAATACGCGGTGATCTTGGAGAACATCGCGACGGAACACTAGGTGGAAATTTTGCGAAGGCGTCCTCAAGAGTCCCCATGTTAGTTGAATTGTATATAACGTTTTGCTTTTACATTCCAATTATTTTTGAAAAATAAATGTTAATTTTGATCGAACAAATATCAAATGTCAAAATGTCCATTTATGTTGCTGCTTGCGGTTTTGCATTATCGTGAATTTGGCGAGATTGCATATTGTTATTATATATGTGATAAATTAATATCTGAATAATTTATATCGTGTATTAGCATAAAAAAGGACTCTTTAAACATAGAAAATGCTGTCATACATGACTTATATCACTATGTATTAAAAAATATAGGCTTAAAATATAGGCTGTTGGTTTGGTTCTCTGTATTTTACTTTATTATAATTTATTAAAATGCTATCAGTAATAATCAGTAATATGATCAGTTAACAAAGTGTATTTTACAATCAAAATGTATCTTTTCAATTTCTATACAAGGAAACAGTATTAAGAAATGAAAATATCTTCAACATGTAACATTAAAGAAATATTAACATTCGTATAATTAGAAAGAAAACAATCAATCTTCATCTCTTGTGTGATTAGTACAAATATAAATATTGAGGAAGTGGAAAGAGATTGGCATCTCTCGTTGTGGAAAAGTGTGTGCATTTTGAAAAAAAAGAAACAAAAGGCATGTTCATAATCACAACAGATATTATATAATAAACCGTATTTTTACAGTGGCAGATACAATGTAAAATGAACAAGGATACCTTTACGAAATATACACGCATTAAGATCGCATGTTGATCCAGGAATCGACCGGCGATACTATGTACAACACAACCACGTAAGCGTGCGCGATGTACCATCCAACTGGCAGGCAACGCGGTTGCACTTTTGAATTTGGCACGCGGTGCATCTATTCGCCTATATCCCTGTCCCGGCGTCTCTCTCTTGCTCTCTTTCTCTCTCTATCTATCTATCTATCTCTCTTTCTAAGTACGTGTACGTGTATATGTATATGTGTTTGTATGCCACTGTATTGTCCGCTTTTCTAAATGCACTCGCCTGTTTCAGTCAAACGAGACACCGGAACACGTCTTGGCTGATCTCCGTGCTTCCCCGGGAACGGGAAGAAGAAGAAGAGAACGTCTAACAGAACGAGACCCGTTGATCGCGTCGCTTAAAAAGTTACAAAAAAGAATTCAGCGTCCGAATAAATTACATAGACGTCGTCGGTGTTGGAGACCAGCCAAGACGCCGCTATCGCTCCTCCTCGATCCTAGTCAAATGAACCGTGTAAATTAGCGTACATCGACTAAGAAACGTAAAAGGAAAACAATAAGTACGTAAACGTGATAATGATATAACGATTCGTTATGCTGCGTTATGTACACATTTCCTCCTCACGCACTCCCTCGGGAAATAAGTGGAGGAAAAACGGAAGAAATGTCAGTCCGAAGAAAATAAAATAAAATAAAAAATGAAAAAAGATACAAAGACGAATAAAGAAGAAGACATCGACAACGTGCGTCGATTAGCAACGATCTCGCTAACAACGATCTACGTGTGTTAATATTTAAGTACATTGATTAAACGACATTTTTCATAAGTACCTAAGCGATCGCTCCCTTGTGTGCTGCTTTGCAATTATTCGTTTATTAACTTCCTTCGTATAATTTGTTCCTCCTTGTTATCTTTTGATTTTCGGGACGGACGGAAGGTGGCTCGAAAAACCAAGTCCATTTTTGCCGAACAACTCGCAATGTGACGACGGCGATTTTCTTTTTCCATCGCAGAAATCGTATCGCTCGCTTTACAATTGCTAATGGCAATTTCTTTCAGACGATTATCCAATTTAGTCTGTTACAATCGAAGCAATAACTTTTAACACTTCATCCGCGTGGAAAAATATTGATATACATATGTATGTGCTTCGATATTTAACGTGACTAAATGCATTACGTTCGATGCGAGTTAACGACATCGGCGAAATCGCGCGACGAAAAACGATGCTGCGTAAATAAATTTGTAGTATTGCGGCGATATTTACATGTATTTACGTATTCATTTGTTAGAATTATTGGGCATGACACGTTCTCAGGCGTGACACAATCTACTACTCTTAAATGCAAGAAGGACCATCACCAAACATATAATTTACATAACTTATAATTTACAATTTATAATGTTTATAATTTACAAGGTGAGCTGCAGATCTCTTTTACATGACGCAGAATCGTAGCATCATCTCCTTTCTCTCTCTCTCTCTTCCATATGTCTCTCGTTTATAAAATTATAAAATACTATTATATATAGTTATAATTCAATTATTCGCTTCGATTGAACTCTAGGAAGAATTTCTCTCGCCTCATTGCTGAGTCGCCGGCTTAATGAATGACACACACGCTTTCTCTCTCTCTTTCTCTCTCTCTGCAATTTCTCCATACTCTCCTATACTGTCGCATTACATTTTTTTAAATAACTAATCTATGTACAATGCATACACACACGCCTCAATTATCTCTCTTGTAACATCTCCCCTTGGCCTTCCTCGACCGTTTACCCTCGATCCGTTTCGAAAAACCGAAAGTGCAGCGGTTAACTTGAAAGACGTACAGAAAGCTGCGAGGCGCAATACTGATATCTCACGGGATACTATATCAATTACTACACGGGACTGAGGAAACTCCTTCGGTCGCTACGCTGTACAATAGCTGAGCGCGATCAAATCAGTAGATATGATACTCACACTCGAGGATCGGCTCGACAAGCGATTTTCGCAACTATTATTACAGAGCGGAAGCACCGTCCTAGAGAAAGATTATTTCCGCGAGCGTTATATATTCCTCGTGCGAGAAATTTCTACGCGCTTCGTCATCCCGCTCCTCGGTCCTCATGATAAATGCAACACGATCGTATGTATAATAGACAACGACAGTGTAAGACATATTGTATCTCCGCTAGTCTTTAACAGCTAATCTTAAGTAATTTAATTGGGGTGTTTCTTTCTTTCTTTCTTTTTTTTTTTTTGACCGGCTACAGGACGATAGTCTGTGGTGCCCGAACTCACGTTCACTCATTCTGTGCTACCACGCGGCGCAATGACCTTGAGCAAGTTCCTCACGATACTTCAATAATCCATTCGACCCTGTTCATTTAAGTACTGGCCACTTCACGTCAATATCACAGTCTCCTCGCGGATGTTAAACCCCCTCACGTCTACGTTCGGATAGAAACGTGTCTATCCGAGTGCTTGTCCGAGCCGGGCGAGCTTGCCGGAAATGCAAGTCTCCTTCCTGCGGAAGGTACGGTTCACCGCACTTCGTGATTCAGGTCACGATACGATCACGAAGTGGCAACCATCCTATACATAGTTTTCCCTTTCTTCTTATTTTTTTTTTTTTTGAAAAAAAATAACAGTAAAGGTGCAGCGTAATCTTGAGTGCGTACAATTTCGTTTTTCATGCAGAACGACGATAATCGCTCGGTTCGAGCCTAACTCTACTCAAGATAATTGGGATATCCAATTACGATATCGCGTGATAGACATTTAAGTATAAGATATTATTCGTAGCGTCGAGAACTCCGCTTGTACGCGTACGTTCGCGACATCTATTGCTTCTACTTAATCGGCTGACGAGATGTAGCCTGTTATTATCGGTGCGTGAAACTTCGTATCCCCCCCTTCCCCCGTGTCACGCGTCACCCCGCGGGCGTCTGCTTATATGCTTATATGCGTGTTTTTTTTTTAATTTTAATTCTTACTGAGGTCGTTAAGGCTGTGCGCGTATATACTTATCTATCTATTAAGTATATTTTACGCTGATATTTTTGTGCTGGTTCATTTCGCTGCTACCGTCGTTGCTGTAGTGAGCGCCGATTCGACAAGAGGAATCGTCGCGCTCCTTCGGCCCAGCTTCTCGATAGGTCTCACGGTGAACTTACGAGGTGCGATCAATAAGTTATTGAACTGATATTGCGAGGCGAGAATCTATTGCGATACCTTCTGTACCTCATAGTATAGAAATAAGGTAGAGACGTGAGCAGGTGGAGACCGCAGATCTCATGAGTCAATATGCCAAGTGACATAATGCTGTAATTATTAAGTATAATATTATGGGGTAACGAATGACTCGTGCGAGCACGTTGTGATTTGTAATTGGCGAGGATTCGATTTCTCACCCTACATAGACCTCGATTTTCTGAGGTTTATTAAAGAAATGTAATCATATATCATTCCTTTCTATACATGATTAAAAACATTTCGACATTTCAACATACGATTAAAATATTGGAGTATGAATTATAGATTAGTTCAGATTGTGGAAGTTATACTATAGTAAACTTTTCTTTTTCCGAAACATCTGCTACTATTATATTCGACTAACAATAAGTATAGTATTGCTTGTAGCTTTGTTCGCCGAAGTTTTGTTCGTTTAGGTGTCAGTCTGCGACTGAGAGATACAAAATTGAAGCGAGACACGTGAAAACATCTCCAAAGTCTACCGAACATTTTATATTTTATAAACAATTAAGGATTCATCGCCGAATCGATCTATTTGTTGCGTGAAAATTACAACAAGAAAATAATTACTTGATCTTGATTTCTTGAAGATTTTCAGTTCCGTATCACTCACAAATTAAAATTTTTTTCCAGTGCTCTATTTTTAAAGATTGTGGGAGCATTCGATTTGGTTTTTAGAGATATATCTTTAGCTTCACACAAAATTTGCATGCGTGTTACTTCAAATTTTGCATCTGTCGTGACAATAGTAGATAGACATTTGGATCGTCGACAAAAAGATGAACCGCATAACGCTCAATAATAGCAGCACTCTGGCATATTAATTCACGAGACCCGCGGTATCCACATTTTAATGGAGCATCCCTGTTTCATCGCTTCAATCCGCCTCGTAATATCAGTTTGAAAACTTTTTAATGGCACTTCATATACCGTTACTATCCATCTGGAAACTCGACGGTGTTTGCGATCGGGTCGAGAACACGCGGCTCACGTGTAGTACTTTCGATCGTGTGCATGGTCGGAGCGCGGGCGGGCGTGTTGCCGCTATGTGCTTGAGTGGAAATACTTGGCGACGTTGTTGATGAACTCCTGACGCTACAACTGCACTTGGAACGCCTGGGTCGCGTTCGGCATGATGAAGGGATTCGTCGTGGACGACTGCTGCATATTTCTGGAAGCGATCTCCGCCCATTCGACGTCGAAGGGATCAGAAGGTCCTCTGGAAGTCAGGCTCATCGCAGCCGATCCGAGCGAGTGCGCTCTCGTGTGAAGAGGAGGCGCACGTCGAGGACTGACGGTTACCTGCGACGCTGGCGACGGTACAGAGCCGGTTATGCTACCCAACCATTGTTCTGGTTTCGGCAAACCAGCTGCCGTGGAAAGTGGTTGCACCTGTTAAACGGAGAAATCCAAGGTTGGTGAAAGGATGTCTCGAGTCAATATTGAATTTAAGTTATGATAATAAATAGCTCAAAAAGACTTGATATTTATTGTTATATTGGCAGCAGTAAAGAATAAAATAGAAAGTTGTAAAAAAATTAAGAATGAATTAAATAATCGTCTTAGAAATCTTTTAACACTCTGTATGAATGCGTTCTTAAAGATTGTAACAATTATTTTATACTTTAACAATTTTTTTTTTTAATTTCTGCAAAAACTGTTGCAAATTTTACAAATTTTAAATGATTTTAATAAGAAATTTCAATGTATATATTTTAGATATTATATACTTATAAAATATTAATTGACAAATAATTATATAAGTATAATATAACCAATATTTATAGTATAGCATTTGAGTCTTACTTACAACTAATCTTATTAATATAAATTTAACAAAACTAGAAAGTTTTTATTCAAATAAATAATACTTATTTATGTACTGTTTAACTTACTAAAGCCGTCGGGATTCCAGTTGTTGATGAGACTTGAGCGTCAGAAACCGCCGGGGAAACGGATGCTACGCTGGTACTAGGAGAACTTGTTTTTGGAGTTATCACGGAATTTATTGGGATCGGCGATCTGTTCACGGCCGGCGTAGACGTGTTTCCTAAAGAGGACGTAGAAGCCGTGCTGAAAGCAGGACTCGCCGCCGACGGCGGCGTGCCGAAGGCACCTACGCTAGAGGAAACAGGTGCGGGCGTGCTCATAACGACCGGGGTGGGCGCGTTCGTCCTTGGAAGAACGGGACTCAAGTTGCTCCCCTTAAGGCGGGGCGTAAGCCTGTGATTCGACGCGAGAACGGGGGATGCGGACTCTTGCCAACTGGGTCCAACATGATTCAGACTACTGAGCTCCTCGTTTTTGTCGTTGTTATCGTTGTTACTGATATTGGGACCGTTCTGCAATTTCATCTCGTCCAACGAGTTGCTACTCGTTACTGAAAGAGCATAATGATTGACTTGTAAAAATTATAATGCGCACGATTTTTCGAAGATGTTATCGTAAGATGTATGTTTGAGACAGATAATGAAATATGTAACTCTCATAATTTTGTTAACAAGTCACACCTGGAGGAGAGCTGGTGGTGCTACTGGTGAAAAGCTGCTTGGCGACGGAGCTCGTGGCAGGCTGGGACGACGGCATCGGTCCGAAGTCGTCGCTGCTCGAGAGCAGAGAAAGCCCTTGAGAAAGCTGCTGACACATCGCGGAGACGCTGTCGTGATCACCGGGGAATATTTCTGGTATCGGGCTCACTGCGATGAAACAGAAGGTATCACGTTTAACAATATATTTAGCATAGCTCAAATTCTGCGACATAGGTGCTAGGACGCAATCTACAAGAGGCATGCTACAGGGGACGCCTAAATATATGTCGGGTTGATAGTATAAAGTGAGAGTTTATATATATATATATATATAGAACGATGAATACATGATGTAAGTTGAATATTTTTTTCAAGCACAAATGGAAATATACACTGGGGGTGGATTCAAATTTACGAGGGTTCTAGGCTACACGCTCGCAGTGTCGTAGTACAATAAGTTTATGTCTGTTAACCATATGGAGAACCGTGTGCATGAAAAACGGGCATGTTTACGAGTACATCGAAGAGCAAGCAACAATAAAAAAAATTAACAGAATAAGGAGTAATGACCTTCGTCATATCCTTCGAATTCTGTTGTGAGACAAAGAAGTATTATTGTTATTTAATGGTCAGATCGATTTAAATTAATATCATATAATCACAGCGCACTTGTGCACATCACATGTTGTAATTCTTATTATCTCGCTCATTAATGGTTAATTTAACAAGATTATAAATAAAATGAAAGTGAGATATTTCGAAGACGTGGACGCTCACCTGGGGGCTTCGAGGGTACGATGTGCGAATGAGCTGAAGGCATCCGCGCCAAATCCGTTGGCTCGAGACTGTGACTACGTGTGCGTTCGAGAGTACTAGGAAGATCGTTGACTCGTAGACTGAGCTGCCTTTTAAATGGGGACGCTTGACTTAACTGTGAAAAACCCCGGAAGGAACCTTGCCGCTCCAGCATAGATAAAGTAGCGTGTGGCCTCTCGATCGCGAAAGGATTATACACTTGCCTAACCGGAGGAATTTCTGAAATGTAAATATTTTATATACGGTAAGTAAATGGATATTGCTAGTAAGCTACATTTTTTATGATGTGTAAGAGATAGTATGATAATGATAAATTTAAAGCAAAACATTTGAAACATTGAGAAATATATAATCGTAGTTTTAACTATTTACAAATTTACAAACTTAATGTTTAACCGTGTATATTGTACAGGTAGATTTTCAGAGTTATAATAAAAATTTCTAGAAGAGAATGACAAAGTTTTTTTTTACAAATACTCTATTTATTAAATCGTGTTTTCTAATAAATAAATCATGTGTTATATTAATGAAAATGGATAATTATAAATAGTAAATAACATATGCACCGCACCTGCTGCACGATCGCGCGCTTCTTGCAATCGTTCCGCTAAATTCGGATGCCTAAAGCTGCCGCTTCTCGTGAAGATGGAAGTCTTCGTATCGAAAGTCATTGTAACTCCGCATTCTTTGTCTCGTCGTTGCTTCCTCTCCAGGCACGCGGCGAAGGCGCAGCCCACTGCGTGACTCAATCTCTCTCCCTTGAGAGTAAAGAATAAATTTAAGCATTAAGAAAATGCTCTTATTATCTACAATACATGTGGGAATAAGCAAAACAAGAATAAAAATACGTATATTATATTGTAAACAGAAAGATATATGTAAATCTCTGTAGCAATATCTATATTACATATATATTGTATATATATGTCAACATAAAACACTTTATAATTAAAAAAAAAATTTAATTACACTGGATATATCATAGTAATTCTCAATAAATCTATCAGCAATTAGAGATGTATTACAATTAAAAGATGCGTCTCATATTTAGCTTTTGCATATATTATCACCACCGTACCGTCTGATGCTGCATACATTCGCTATTTTACTATCAATAAATTCACCCCTTATCGACAGAGTATAGCATCCCTTGTACATATTGGGGATGATTTTCTATTCGAGTGGGGTGAAAAGGCATCTGACTTACCGATTCTTTTAATGCTAAAAATCCGTGGCACATCCACCGCCTCGTCGTGCCATCCCTGCAAATGTAACTGAATCCCTTCTCGTGATTCCTGTCCGGCGCGCAGAACGACACCTTTTCAATTGTCTGATCGACAATTAACCCCTTCGTTTCGTCCTCGACGACACGCAATCCGTCGCCGGACACGTGTAGTATCGCTCGCACCGGTCTTCGTCTTGAGTTCTGAAAATTTAGTCGCGAATTAACTCGGCCGTCCGAATTGCCCTCTGACCTTTACACCGATTTATTTTCAGGTCGCTTTGGTGTCAATGTCGACTCTTTATATGTAAGCGGTGTTAAATATAGTCGAGGCGAAAGACTCGGAGAATGTGGCGCGCTTGGCTTTCGCAAGGCTTATAAAACTTTCTACGGAGCTTCTTGAATATTTGAAATGAAAAGTATCTCATGAAAGTGCAGTCTAGTTGTTTCCAGAATTATTTATTCTTACATACATAAAATATAAACCGGATGAATGGAACAATAACCATACGCGCGATACGTAAATGGTTAATTATAAGAATTAATGCTATCAATCGATCTCAAAGAAGAATCGTATTAATTTCAAGAAATATTTTAAAAACACTTACTCGGAGAACTTTAAGGGCCTCCTCGCAAACCTGCATACCCCTCGATTCGAAGACCTCCACACATCCTAGGTACTGTCAAAAAAAAAAGGTTAAATTATTCACTTAATAAAGATAAAAAATTTCTAAAATAAAGTTTTGATACATCTGGTTAGAGATAGTCACTAATTGATATGTACATATTTCAGTGTTACTATTAAATTTTACGCTTACCTTAACGTGAAAAGCGCATGTAGCTGAGCGCACGGCACTTTCATCTGCTTGCCACTGGTGTGGCTTGCTAGACTCGGGCACATGAGGGTCTTTCCGCCGCCGGAAACTGTCCCGGAAGCTTCGTCGAAGCCTATCCATTCTTTTTCCCGGCGACCTCTCGCGCTTCTATAACAGCAAAACATAAAAACACGATTTATTTCCTACAATTTGGACAACAATTCAAGCGGCATTAACGAAGGGCTCTCCCTCAGACTCTCCCAGGGTGTGACGAAGGGTCAACTATCCATGACAGATAAAGGTAGGGTGCCTGACGCTAACTTTTGTAAGATATAAAAATTGCATTTCAATCGCACAAATCTCATCTGATATTGATATCGCAAAGATATCACGCAAGAAAAATATTATTGACCCAAAATAAAATTTTAATAGTACATTTATTATAGAAATAAAAACAAGACTAATGATACCTATCATACAGAGAATATATATTTATAAATCTAAGAACTTCTTATTATTTTTGTTCAAACAAGTATTAGAAAATATGTTGAGGATTGAAATATATACATAATAATTTAAACATAAATATTTTAACATAAATGCTTATCAAAAAATGGATAAAATATTTCTTAAATTTTGCATGAGTTTTAATTCGTGTAATAAATATAATTATTAAAAGTTGTTTTTTAAAAAGTTCAGTAACATTACATTGAAAGAAATTTGAAAAAGTTAATTTGGGTACAGACGTTAATAATGCGGCTGATATTGCGTATATATCTGCGCGTGCATTGTCAAAATTGCAGGTGATTAACAAAGGTCAAGTCAATAGGGAAATTTCGAAATAGGATCATAGGCAACAAACACGGTGTCCACAAGGAAAGATGTCTCTGTCAGTCGGAATTATGTTCTGATAAAGTTCAACATCGACAATACAATCAGTCAAAGCCGCGAGCGAATTCTCAAGGGACGCGTCCAGGATCCACCCGATGGATCGTTAAAAGCGAAGCTTGAGAAAATGTCCGAAGCGGCCACTGTCTGGCAACCGTTGCGCCGAATCGCCAACTTGACAAAGCCCTGTGATCGAATCTTGAGACCCGTTCCCAAAGAATCCTTTATATCAGAACCCTCCTTTATATCGGGGTCTCCCCTAACACCGACCGCGGATCTACCCCTCGAATTGGCGGCACCCCTAAGAGCTAGTCGACGGATTGAGAACGGAGACACGTTAAGAAGACCTTTCTCTCCCTCGTGTCCCTACGTTCCCCCCGTCCCTCTCTCCCTCCCCCTTCGTCATCGACGTCTCCCTTTGCCGCGCTCTTCGTTTCGCTATTCGACTTTGCAAGGTTAATTAGTCGGTGTTATGTCATTTGACTTGATATATCGTCATTTTCTAGATTTTCATATTATTCAAAAATAAGATTAAAATAGTCGATTAAGAACTCGTGCACTGATTACATTATTATCATTTATATAACACACAATTTTTCCGATCGAATTAAAAAAAAAAATCATCGAATGATGGACATATATGTTACTAGTTATCACAATTTGATTATCTCTTTTTCGCCGTTTTTCTGCAAAAACACAGAACATATATTTCAGTAAATTACGGCTGTATCGAATTAACTCGTGCACGTACATTTGCGCAAGTTTCTGTTCTAGAGATTTCGTAGACTGATGATAATTAACATTAATTTAATTATCTGCTTGTGGAAACTTTTGACACATCGCACAATACTTACTGCAGTATACAAAATATATTAATATTATTTATTTCCTTTAGTAATAAATATCTTTACAAATTTTCGAAGTAAATTTTTTTAGTAAAAATTAAATTAAAATTCTTTTATTTATTGTTTTATTTATCGCAATTATTTAATTTTAACATTAAATATTTTTATAAACTCTCGACCTAGATACCTATTATAAATATACTTTAGATTAACATAGAGAAACAGCATTTAAATAACAATATACATATATACTTTTTTAGAATGTTAAAATTTTGCATTTTAAATATTAAGTATATAATATTGAAATTCTTGTTTTATGAAGTGTGAAGAAAAAATCTCCAAACTTATCAATTTAAAACTGAAAAGAGACATGTGTCAATACAAAATTCTCCGGCGTATTCTTCGCGTTTGATATCGCTCGCACGTGTTTCACGCAACTGGTCATATAGATAGGATTCCATGAATGACATCATACATCAGATGACATGCACATGTATTCTGAGTTCACGATGGATGTCCAGATATTCATCCAGCGCAGTTGCGCGGGTGTTACAGTAGAACCTAATTAGAACTTTATCGAGTTAGTTCGCGAGCCGAGCAGAATAATTCGCAATCGTGATACTAAACACGAATAACCAACTCGTGTATATATATACAAGCGCACATATAAGCGCATTAATTTCCGCGAATCTATTTCGCGATATGATCCCATCTGAATACACTCGCATTGCAGAAAATCGAGAAGCATTTAAGTCAATAAACTTAACATCGTTATTGAATATACCGTTATAAAGCATTACGTAGATCTCGCGTGTGTTGAATTTATTATTTCACATTATTGTATATATGAGATAAACGTTTTTAAAAGTTTGTCTGGAGTTTTGCGCGTGTAGCTTCAATGATAGCTTAGAAAAGTCGTTCTTATCTCTCACCCTCGAAACGCGAGGGCGCGTTGACCCAACTTTATACGGCGCTCCAGATAATGAATATCGGCAAGAAGATCTAAATACGTCCCGTACGACCGCATCCCCATAAATAACTCCTTTTGGATATGACATGGGAACAGTTATTAAAGGAGATGCATACATTCTGAATTCGTTCCATTTAAATTTCTAGTCACGGAGCAAATGTATACACTTTATTTAAACATCACAGTGCGAATTGTTGAGTTTCAAATTTCGAATAAAGTTTAAAGTTATTTTTTATCGTTTTTTTTTACAAAAAAACAACGGTAACAAGGTGGTTACCGATTTAGTGCGAATATTAGGAAACGAGTTAAAATGGTATTCGACAGGTTATTCGACTTGTATAAGACATGGTAATAACTATTATTTTAGAATCGAGGCCAGACATACGCAAGATCTTCTATAAAGGGTATGATTTGCTCGTAAAAGTCACTTTCACCTCAGCGACCACGTATCGCAATCGTGTGAGCCTCCATCGGGTATAATCGAAAGAAATGAAAAGGACTAAATGTGAGACAAGGTAATTAGAACAAATTCGATCGGGAGGAAGAGAAATCAATAAATATTTTATACAAATTATGAATGTATAAAGCAAATAATTGAGCAATGTGTGATATATTTAACAAAACAATATTAATTGAATAAAACTATACAAATCTATAGTCATGTTATTTGATGTAAGAATCTTCTGCTACATAAAGTTAATTTCTTTTTATTAAAAGATATATATTGGACAATAAAATCTTTTTAAATTGAACAAAATATAAAATAGCATAGAATAACGTGTTATATAAATTAAATATGTGTTTGAAATATTTCATATAGCTGTCTAAATTGTTTATTCAAATAAAATTGTTTTAATACTTTAATAGAAATTGTGTTGGCGTAAAACAGTTATTAAAATTCTAGATATTAACAAAAAAAAAGAGTCGTAAAACGCCTTTTAATAAAGCTATTATCACCACGGTTATTAAATCGGGACCACTGTCGCGTCAAAGGAGATTAATAAAGGTACGATAAAGCGCAGTCTATCAAGGACATCGGTAGATTTTAGATTGCATGTCACGTGTCTCCCGTGAAGGACCATCGAGGGAACAGACCGGCATTATCGCGCACGAGTAGCTGCATCCCAGATTTTTTTTTGTCGAAGCGACACTCCTCCGTGGAAGCGATCGCATCTGGGAGCTCGCGCACTCGATTAGAATAATATCGTCCAATGAAAATAATCGAACCCCCCCATCCCATCCCAACGGGGCGATACCATGCCGACCATGCGTCGGTTATCACACGATAAACGGCTAATAGCTAAAACGTGCGAAAGTAAACGCTCTCAACGCAATCGGTTTAGCGAGGCTGTTTATGTAGCACGGTAATAGGCTTACCGAGATGCGCTACGGTAAAACGATCGCATGCTCCGCGCACCATGCCGTTTTATTCGTCGCTCCCGCGCGACATGTGTCGTCTGTCAAGCGGGAGTCGACTATCGCGTCTATCAACAAGCAAGTGACGACCGAGAGGCATGATCATCATGTCGAGCGAACAATACCACTGTCTAACGTCGCACTAAACGGCTTTGATCGGCGAAATTAGTCTGCGGCGTTGTAACGCTTTGCAGAGATTTAATTTAACTGCGTGCGACGCATTTGAATGCACGCATAACTGCTTTTTAATTGGCACAGATGGGGAACGTGTGGCGCGTTTCTACCGCGTAATGATTCGCTGCCTCCTCGAAACGACGAATTGCGACATAACAATTTAGCAATCCAAGGAATTTATGTCCTAATAATCATAAACACGGAAATACTGTTACCGAAATAAGAAATTTATTTAAATTTATATCTGAAATTTATTATAAATTTATTATAAGAGTAAAAAATATTCTTCGTTATTCTTCAATGACATATTGACATGTGTTCTCTTGTATATTTAATTGTCAAGAATGAATAATATTATCTCAAATAGATATTTCTTTAGCTTGTTTGTTAGAATTATTTAAAGTTTACACATAATATTTCTATCATTTCCGAGTTCTAATTCAAACATTACGAAATTTATTAGATAATTTAGTAGTGACGTAGAGAGTAATATTTAAATAAGAAAAAATAAAAAAAATGTTATCCCACTCACAAATAATATAATATACGTTCACGGCATAATGCCATAAATGGTGTAACTATAATAAACTATTCATTAAATAATGTTAATTATTGAGCATAGGCTGAATTATTTTTTCTGTACGCGAAATAATAATTATGACGCGAATATGTGTGCACCATTCAATCAATTCGCTCACTCGCGGTATTAATGTGGAGGCATCTCGTAAAGATATTCGCCTTCTTTGTAATGTACTTACACGGATAACGTTATAAATCTATTGATCGTGCTCCTTTTTTTATTGCACGTGGATATATCCGCACACGGCCGGGGAGAGATTATAAATATTCCGCGCAAACATAGTGGTCAGGTATTA